AAGGCCAAAAATATATGAAATGATATATGAAAAAAATAACATAATTTTCTACTAATGAAGCACGAGCACACATTGCTTTGCATCTTATAAACACAACCAAGCCTTAAAAATACACTCTAGACCACCCTTTTAAATATTTATTTTAAGTAAACCGCATAATTTACGAAACATATTATGTTCCGCCAAAGAGTATTTGTTTAGAAGAAAACTAGGACATTTTACTGTGTTTCAAAGGTGTCTTTGTGTCTCAGTCATTTAAATGAATGAAACCGTGCACGTCAATGACAAATCTGATCTAATGGTGCTTATGGTGCAATGCGAGGCTGCCGGCACAAACAAAAGCTAATACTGTCACCATCAGAATAATCGCGAACAAGGCATCCAATTCATAAGGCTGACCTCTGTCAATCAGACTAGAGTAATGAGTAGAGAACGACGTCAAATGACACAGTGTAAAAAAAAGAGAGAGAAAATCATTGCTTCATGCATGGATATTACGTGATTAAACTCAAGAGGGCCTATAAATGGCTTAAAATCAATTAGGATGGTGAGCGCGCATGCTGACGGTGCCGCCCCCTCGATGCGTTTTCCTGCAGCTTTCCTTCACTCCGTCTCTCGCTCTCTCTCCGCACACACCGAACGGTTCCTCCCAGGAGTCTGACGTGTTGCTAGGCAGATCACCATCTTGCAGTTTCTTGACAAGACCACACCAATGCAGTTGCTTTATTGTCTGCTAGTTTCCCCTACGATTGGCCTAAATGGGCCGCCCTATGCGTCAATACGCGCCGGCAAATGGGAAAAAGGTTGACAAAGCCATAAATAAACCCTCATTAGAATAACCCAACCCAGGACTATTATTCTTCGGACAGACAGATCCATGTCAATGCCCTTTATCGGCTAACATGTGCTTAGCGCTTAATAAATCTTTGTGAACCGAACAGAAAAAAGCCTCTGGGAGATGTTGTGCATTAAAGACTCTTTCTTGAAAACAAAATAGAGTCTGGCACAGTTCTTAAAACGAACCACAATGCCCGGATTGCTGCATAAAGAGGATTTTCTCTTAACATGCGAGCAGAAAGGGGCTGTTTGTTGCACGGCTGTGAGCTCCAGCTGTGGGCTTTATTAAACGCTGAGGTTTCTCTGCGTATGTCTTAGAGCAGGAGCGCAGATGATGCTGGGAAGTCATATGGTTCCTTGGGGTCAGTGTCTCTCCAGTGCTTAATAAACTTCCGAAATGCAGCCGGCAAAGAAATATTACAGCTTCAGCGGTGGATGATAAAAATGTGGGTCAGAGCTGTGGAAACCTAGTATCCATGGTAATACATGTCGGACATGTGACCTGTTTAATGTTGGTTCCCACTGACATAATACCTTGTCCTCATAAAACACCATCTTTAAATTGTCGTTCAGTATGATTCTGATATCTGATCTATCTATCTATCTATCTATCTATCTATCTATCTATCTATCTATCTATCTATCTATCTATCTATCTATCTATCTATCTATCTATCTATCTATCTATCTATCTATCTATCTATCTATCTATCTATCTATCTATCTATCTATCTATTTATCTGTCTGTCTGTCGGTCAATCTATCTACAGTATCTATCCATACATCCTTCCATTCATCATCTATTCATTCATCCATCCACCCATCTATCTGTCTATCCATCTGTCTGTCCGTCCATCCATCCATCCGTCCATCCATCCATCCATCCATCTATTTCTATATATCAGACTGTGATCTATGTGATGATCAACTATAGTATTTAATTAATTGCTTTCTCCAAATTAGGGATTGCTGGAGGTACGTGGCTTTTAAAAATTAGTTTTAATTGAACTGCTAGCTAGGATTATTATAATATATATGCAACTATAATGATACAACATTTTATTTACACTGCTCACTGCTACAAAATGTTATTTAGATACTTACAGTTATTCTCAGTGGCTTTGGTGCATTTCTCACAACACTATTTACATTTGCACAACAGTTAATGCATTTCTCAAAACAATTAGTACAAACTGCAAAACCTAGTTAATAACCTGCATAAGCGTGTCACTTGCTCAAAATGGAGAGCTTATTCCTTAAAAGCAAGTATTGATGTCAATGAAATTGTCAGTGTCATCAAGATGAAAAGTCCTGACACCATTGTTTATGAACAAAAGATAGTCAAATGGCTTTGTCATGTTTTCATTATAACAGTTTTCTCTGTACATTTTTTTTTCAGATTTTGGTGACACTTCCTAAAAATGCTTAAGACAGCACTATATACTATTTGCACAGCCATTTAAAAACTACAGTAAAGTTAGACATCACTGCATTTAGTGAGATATCTGAGTACAAGACACTGAATATGTATGTTTCACATTTTACTGCATTTGCTCTTCTAATTACAATTCTAATTTATTCACAGCATTGTGCAAGGGAATAAACACACCTTATTTACAACAAACATAAAGTTCCTTTGGATAGAGCTGTGCACAACTGTAAACAATACTGCAGAACATTTTGGAACTGAACATACAACACACATAGGTCTGTAAATCATTAATGAAATTGTTAAATTTAGAAGCCATTTTCAGAAAAAAAAAGATTTTAAAAGTTTTATAAAATAGGTTTGACATATTTGGACAACTAGTTTAACATTTGTGTATGTAATGAGTCTCAAGTAATGAAATGAGGACTGTTAGTTTTATATGGAATGACTATTCAGCATTCACAAGTTTAGTTAATTTTGACTGACATGACATAAGCAAATGATAATGTTATAAAACAGCAGAGAGTTGTATGAAAGCAAGTGACGCATGTCTAATACCATTTGCAAGTTGATGGAAACTGCTACTATGATGTGCACAAATGACTAATTGTTTTGAGAAATGCATTAACTGTTGTGCAAATGTAAATAGTGTTGTGAGAAATGCACCAAAGCCACTGAGAATAACTGTAATATTATCTGTAATATTATTATTATATTATCAGACACACACAAAAATGACCTGAATTCAGTTGGATAATTTTCTCTTTGTAACAATGACACAGTTAATATACTGAACTGAATCAACATTGAATGATCTAATTGGTCATTATTCAGCTCAATTCAGATTCAGTGCTGATTCTTTTTAGTTTAATAATTATTTTATTGCATTTTTGCTACACTAACAGCACTATTAACCTGTTTATAACAGCAAAGGTTGATTGAAAACGTGTGCCATAAGGCTGATTTATACTTCTGCGTCAAGTGCACGCGTATGCTCCGGACTTTGCACGCTAGAATAGCCCTCGCCGTGGCTGACATCTCAGAAAAATTAACTACACGTCGTAATGACGCATAGTGCAAGCTCTGTGATTGGTCGTCTTGGTAGCTGTGACCAGTGTGGGCAATACCCAGAGCCACGGAAAGCCCTTGGATCGACTGTTTACAAGTGTCAAGTTGCATAAAGTAGCCCTAGATGGAAACTGTTGTTTTGTGTTTACCTTATGATTAAAGTTGTTGTGCGTCCGCCGGTTCCCACCTCTGAATGAGCAAGTTTTAGCTACTTGTACATTAGGGTAGCATTCAGAAAAAAACAAAACACCCATAAAGAAACTCAAAACAGAGAAATATAAAAACCTACAGCCTGCTAGCATTTCAGAAGTGCAATTGCAGAGCAACACAAACACCACGCAGAAGTATAAATGAACGAATACGCGCAAGGCAGGCGCCGTAGGTCACGCCTATCACTCGACACAGAAGTATAAATCAGCCTTTACAGATCCTGAAAAGTGAAGCCAAACATTTTGAGCACCCCCTAGTGGCTTGCTGCAATATTGGTTATAAACCCCGCCCTCTCCATGTAAACGAATGGGATGTGCATCGAACCAAAAAGACAAATAACACTTCGGCAATTTTGCTTTTTGTCATTTGGAGTTTTTATGCTCACTATCCTAATATGTTTGTTTAATGGTGCAGTAGCTGATCTTCCATAATGCTAACAGCTTAGCATAAATCTCTGAATCACAGTCCCTCCCCTGCCGTCTAGAGCCAGGCCTCTTTAAACACGAGCACAGCAAAAGAACCCTCTCTCATGTGTTAAAAGCAACTAGTGCTTGTCCGGCGGCGTGCAAGCCAAACTGACATGCGATTTCAGAGTGAATATTAGAGTTGCATGGTAAACAATATAGGGAGAGACTAGGTGGAATATCGTTATTTACTTGTGTTTTGTTGTTAAACTAATTAAAATGTACGTTATAGATGCTGTAAAAGGTCCCTTATGAATCTGAAAATAGTCTTATCAATCTTTCATCGGAAGATTTTAGTGGCTGAACAACACTTCTGTGAAGATGTAACCCATTTGTAACAACAACATATTACATTACATCAGCTTTGCGTGAAGCTAAAACAGTTTTAAAACGGAACATTACCTGTCTAAGAGAAATCCTTCAGACATTGTGAAATCCTTTCTCCAGCGTGCAAAGGTAACTCCAATATTGATTCAGGTTTTTTAAAAGTTTTGATTCAGCAGATTTTTACAGATCGTGAACGTACTCTCTCTCATGAACGGTCGGCGGAGCAGCATACAAACGGCTGCGCAGTTGTTCAAATCTGCATTTGCTGACAGACAGTTTAGCCTACTTATCGGAATTATGAGAGATGTCGGCCCGACTCTATTTAATTGGATGAACATTTTTTAGTTTTATGCCTTACCCAAAATATAAAAAAACATATAAATACATTTGGATTGTTTACTTTAATCATTACTATTAGACTGTGAAGACACTTGCAACCAACACAACAAAAAATGCATCTGAAGGCAATCACCTACTGCACCTTTAAATAAATGAAGCTAAAATATTAAACTGTGGCTCTAAATTCAACAAATAATTTAGCTTCATTTCTGTACAATGGAAGTGGAGACACAAAGTTTATTTCCCCTTTAGTTTATGACTGAAATCATCTGTACTGGTAAAATCGATAAATAAACATCACTACAAGATCTACATATCTATCTTACCTGATCTGTTTAGCATAGCTCAGTTCGATCTCAGATCGTTCCTTCACAAACTTGGTGTATCGCTCCAAAAACTCAATGCCCCATTGAGTGTGTTTCTCCAGATTATCAAACTGATCCTGCGAAAAACAGAAAACATCGGACTTGGTGATTGATCAGAATGTGTCACGTTCATATTGTCTAATGTAAAATGGACAAAATATTAAATTGCAAAGCAAGTACAGTGCCAACAACACACTTTAGGAGATAAAAGTATAGATTTTGCTTTGATGGATTTGATATAACGGTAAGAGAGAGAGAGAGAGAGGGCCCAGAGGAGAGATATCAGAATACCCTCCCAATGAAAGTCATCCCATATAATTTCATGAGTTTGCAGTATTCCCTGACATTGGCAATGTGTCAGATCCATTATTCAGCATTGTTGCTGGGCTCGCCAGCCGTAACATGCCTAACGCTTATCACTATATACACAGTACAAACTTCATCCATCACACCGCATTTAACTTGTTTTGAAACAAATGAACCACTAGGTTACGGTTACAACAACATACAGTATTGATCGGAGTTTGTCCATATATATTTGAATATTACTCATTAAACTGATGTTTTTATGTACAGCAGCAATGTCTGTTTTATGTGTAATTTGTCTTAGACATTATTTCCATATTGATCTGCTACAAAATAAAGCAGTTTTGAAATCAATAACTTGTCCCTAAAGTTTAATTGTCAGTAAAGAAGCACTGTTGTTAAAGCCTGCTAATGGATTAATGCATTCATTTTAGAAAATATAACTTTTATACCATCCACCACAAGCTCTGATACATATTTTAATTTAAACGTGATGATGGAATGCTTTTAATTAAATTAAACGCGAGCTTGCTGATTCAGATGATACTACTGTCATTTAACATCCATTAGCATGATCATAAATTACATTATGAACTTGCTTTCAGCCCTATAAATGCTTTTAAAATATTACCCCTGTAATGTTCTATAAAGGTTTAGGTCTTTTGAGGAGGGTGGTGGTGGCCATGTGTGATGATTTTCCTCCATTCATTCATTCATTCATTTTCTTTTCGGCTTAGTCCCTTTATTAATCTGGGGTCGCCACAGCAGAATGAACCACCAACTTATCTAGCATATGTTTTTCACACTCATACACTATGGACAGTTAAGCTTAATCAATTCACCTGTATCGCATGTCTTTGGGGGGAAGATTTCACTCCATAACTAGTCAATTTTTTGCAGTGTTACCACATCTTTCCTAAACATATTACACCACAAAACTAATTTTGAAATTATTTGAGTAGTAAAAAAAATGATATATTTGAAAATTTCAATGTTTAATTCAATTGTATTCATTCATTCATTCATTTTCCTTCGGCTTAGTCTCTTTATTCATCAGGAGTCGCCACAGCGGAATGAACCACTTACTTATCCAGCATATGTTTTACACTGTGGATGCCCTTCCAGCTGCAACCCATTACTGGGAAACACCCATACACTCTCACATTCAAACACATACACAACGGCCAATTTATCCTTGGACTGTAGGGGAAACCGGAACACCCACACGAAAACAGGGAGAACATGCAAACTCCATACAGAAATTCCAACTGACCCAGCTGGGACTTGAAATAGTGACCTTCTTGCTGTGAGTGCTAACCACTGACCCAGTGTGATGTCCCAATTGTATTCAGTAAAAAAAATGTTGGGTTCCACACAATTCCTTCATGTTGTCCCAACACAAATCTATTAAGTTAGCTTAATAGTTTTTAGAAGTTTAAGTGGATTGAGCATAAAACAATTAAGTCATTCCCACCAAATTACTTAAGAAATGTGTTGATTCAACTCATGTTAAATGAGTAGCTTGATCAAGCAGCAAAAGTCATTTTTCTGAGTGTTCTTGTGAAATTTGCTTAGCACATTCTAAGTAAAAACTCTCTTTTTTTCTCTCGGTGTAGAACAACTTGAGATTAAATGGGTCTTGGACTGAATCCCAGATTCTGAACTTTTTGGTTACTAGCCCAAATGTTTAACGACTAGGCTACGTAACACTCAATATATATATATATATATATATATATATATATATATATATATATATATATATATATATATATATATATATATATATATATAGAGAGAGAGAGAGAGAGAGAGAGAGAGAGAGAGAGAGAGAGATTTTTTTTAACTTGTTCAAGCTACTTAATTACAATGAGCTGAAACAACACAATTCTTGGGATATCATTGGGACAACTTAATTTTTTACGTTCTATCGACACAAATTTGTTAAAAGTGTTAAGTTAATAGATTTGTGTTGGGACAACATGAATGAATTGTGTGGAACCCTGCATTTTTTTACAGTGAACTCTGTATATTTTATCCTAGACTATGATGTTGTTACTAGGTAAAGGTTGCATGATGTTAATGCCAACAAGGACACATACATTATTAGAAAATATGAAATACATATATTGTTGTTGTACTACATGTTGCATCTATTATAGTCTTATTATAACAATGTTACTTTGTATCAAGCACATTATTACAAACATTTAAAGCTGTGAAAATGCATGCATGAGAAATAACCTGTGCACCTGCTCCATTCACTTGCATGTGGTTAGGGACAAGTATTAGCCCAGGATTATTGCTATCCAGGGTATTTAGTCAGCACTGATTGCTAATAACTGTCTTGAACGAGCTTTAGAAAGCGTGCAATTGCTTATGTTAAAATATTTAAACGTGCAGGCATGTTAGATTGAGTGCTAAAATCGTGAAATGAAAGACTACTGTATCTGGATAGAAATTGCGGTCTGCAACACTGTAAAATGGGCGGTGCGGTGGGATATTTATCCATCACTATCGGGAAAATGCATGTTAATAATAAAGATTCTACTCGTTTTGTGCACTATATCGGTTAATATCGTGTAGATGCATTCGCCTCCATGTACTCACCCACAGCTCCGTCCCCCAACTGCAGCTCATGGTTTCGAGGCAGCTCCTCCGCGATAATCCTCTGTTTGAATGCATGCGTGATTCTCGCCCAGGAACAGCTTTCAGATGATAAATAAACAATACTAACTGGTATAATACCAGTGTATACCGTCAAGGATGTGTCCCTCGATCGGCGAGACCGTCCGTTTTCACCTCCGCATTCTGTAAATTGCCGATGAAACTGGAAATGTAGATAATGCCTGTGTACTCGTGCATTCACGCGCCTCAGAACTAGACGGCCACGCGCAGAGCAGCACGCAGCGCCAAATCCACCTCACAACACCAGTTACTCACTGATAAACTGCGAAGATGAGTCCTCTTGCTAGATTTAGACGACAAAAATAAAGGTAAATTAGTAGGAAAGAAATTATGTTACATGTCCTTATTTCTCACATACAAGTAAAAAAAATAATAAAGACTCTATAGAGTCTATAGTAAGTACAGAAACATACATCTGCTAAATATTATATTATATTATATTATATTATATTATATTATATTATATTATATTATATTATATTATATTATTATTTTAAATTATATTATATTATGTTATATTATATTATATTATATTATATTATATTATTATTTTAAATTTTATTATATTATATTATATTATATTATATTATATTATATACAAGGCCTATATGATAAATGTACTAGAAAAACAAAATCAAATGCATAAAACATAAGCAAAGATTAATTTATTTTATGTGATAAATGTAATATAAAAATGCTAAAACTAGTTCTTCAATCAAGCAATAAATACATTAAAATGTAATTAATTGAACTGAATTGAATAAAAATGTTATCAATAAATGTTTTACTATTTTTAAATGTAATCAATTGTTTTGTCTAACAAACAAAACCTCATCATTAAATCACTGACTAACATTCATTAGGGTATAAAAAATAAAATAAATATTTTCAAATTAAATGTAGCATATTTTGGCTACATATTTTATATGTCTTAATAGAAGGCATACTTTTATGCACATAATGTCATAAATCCTGGTTTTTATGCAAAAAAAAAAAAAAAAATACAGCATCTTGCTTAGGTAGACATAGCCAGTTATAGTTTAAATAGTTTGTTGAACAAGCTTAAACTAAATATGATTTAACAAATGTAGAATATGACATATTTAACTAGATATCATTTTATTTTAAAAACTTATAATTTTAAGATATTTTAGATACATTATCTTTGCAGAATGTTCTTTTGTGCACATCCGGTTAATAATTAATGCATCATTGTTGTTGTTATTATTATCCTTAATAATAATAATAATACTAATAGTTGTAGCAGTAGACAAAACCTGCAAAAACAATAAATAAATAAATAAATAAATACGTAAATTTAAATAAACAACTAAATAAATCCATTAATTCTTGCAAAAATTAAAACATTAAATAAATCTGCAAATAAATAAATAAATGTATATAAAAATACACAAGTTTCAGCATAAATAAAAATTTAATTAATTAATAGTGCGGGCAGGCAAATAATTAAATAAATTACACGAATGTTGGGGGAATAAGAAAATGCTAAACTGAAAGTTTATTTTTCCCCCTTTTAAACGATTATTAAAATAAACTTTTAGTTTAGCATATTCTTATCCCCTCATGTAAATTTATTTAATTATTTGCCTGCCCGCACTATTAATTATTTATTTATGCAGGAATATGTACATTTTTATATACGTTTATTTGTTTATTTGCATATTTCTTTCTTTATTTTTTTTATTTATGCAAGACTTTATGGATTTATTTACTTATTTATTTATATATTTGCGTATTTATTTATCGTTTTTGCAGGTATCGTCCTCCATAGTTACAATGATGACTAATTAAAATATCATTTTATCCAGTTAATTATATAGTGTATAGATTCCCTATATCATAATATATTATTAATTTTTTTAAACATCTTACGTTACTGATTATTGTTTAGTTTCAAAAAGAGTTAAAAGTCTTTTATGGGGACTTTTACTTTAAAAAGTAGGAAATCTCTTCACATTGTCCAACTTCCTGCTAGCAACCGGGCCTTGTGTGACAACGGTTTCTAGGCAGGATTTGTTGACGTGAGAGGGAACGTTATACGACGTTATTATACAAAAATTTATTATCGTTTTCATTCATCTAAAATCAAATATTAAACGACATTCTGTGCTTGCGCTACAAAAGCTATAATACGGTAAATAATTCGGCTGTTAGCTGCTAACGTGAGTTGGAAAAGTTATTTTGAACACATCGCAAGCTAACGGAAGTTAACGTTGTGAGAATATTTTTGTTAGCGGTAAAAGCCACTAACGTAATTCTTCAAGATGAGCGAACAGCTTAAATTTATCGTTGAACAGCTGAACAAGGAGCCTTTCAAGAAAAACTTCAATCTCATTACATTCGACTCTCTGGAGCCAATGCAGCTTCTGCAGACTTTAAGTGATGTTCTGGCTGAAATTGATCCAAAGGTAAGTTGAAGATCAAATTTAATATGACTAATAAAACCACAACCTATAGCAATACATATCTATAATAGTACATAGTATCAAAACGGTAAATAAAAGTAGGGCTTCACGTTATTTTATTTTTCTGCAGTTTCAGAAGATGGTTTAAATAGCTTTATTTGATTGTTTTTTTCTATGCAGTCTAACAGTATTCGGGTAACAGAAATTAAATAATCACAATGTAAAAAAATGCATTTCTTAACTTGCTTTGTTTTGTCTCGTTTTTAGTTACAAATATACAAACAATTTCTAAGACTAAGTAAAGATGCTGTTTAGTTTTAATCGTCCAAATAAAGTAAAAAATTAAAAAAAATTGTTTTAAGAGTTTTATCTTTTGTTTTAAGTGGAATAATCTTGTTTTCACTTTAAATGTGGATATTTGGACTGGAAACAAGACAAAAATTCTAAGAAAGAATGTTTGTGTTTCATAAATCATTTATATTCCATATAAATACAGTAATTAAATACAATTTATTAACCATATCAACCTGCAGCCCAAGACCGGTTACTCACTGAAGCTAAGCAGGTCTGAGCCTGGTTAGTACCTGGATGGGAGACGACTAGGGAACACTAGGTTGCTGTTGGAAGTGGTGTTGGTGAGGCCAGCAGGGGGCGCTCAACCTGTGGTCTGCGTGAGTCCTAATGCCCCAGTAAAAGTGAAGAGGACACTATGCTGTCACTGGGCGCCGTCTTTCGGATGAGACGTTAAACTGAGGTCCTGACTCTCTGTGGTCATTAAAAATCCCATGGCACTTCTCGTGAAAGAGCAGGGGTGTAACCCCGGTGTCCTGGCCAAAGTCCCTCTATCGGCCCTTATGATCATGGCCTCCCAATCATCCCCTTCAACCGAATTGGCTCTATCACTGTCTCTTCACTCCACCAATAGCTGGTGTGTGGTAAGTGCACTGGCGCTGTTGTCCTGTAGCTGCTGTCGCATCATCCAAGTGGATGCTGCACACTGGTGGTGGTGTGGAGAGACCCCCCCCCCATGATTGTGAAGCGCTTTGGGTGTATGGCCATACACAATAAATGCGCTATATAAATACACATTACATTACATTACATTTACATTACAATTCTTTAGCTCCTGGTTAACTATAATTTAGACTCAACATTGAATATCCTGCGATGTGGCTATTGCGAATGCGCACATTGCAATATCGATGCTGAAACTATATGTTGTGCAGCCCTAATGTAAAGGATAGTTCACACCATACTGAAAACTTCATTTACATCATTTACTTTATTTGTTCCAAGCTGGTTTGACTTTCTTCTGTTGAACCACTGACTTGCATAGTATTTGTTTATCCCAACTTTAGAAGTCAATAGTCACAATTTTTAAGTTTTCTGCAAAATATCTACTTTAATATTTAACAGAATAAAGAATTACAAAAAGTTTCAAAACCTCTTGAAGATGAGTAAATAGTGAGCAATTTTTCATTTTTGGGTGAACAAGGCCTTTAATATTCTTTCACAGTTTCCTTTGAAACCACATTTTATTTTTAGAGAGTACTGTATAGATCTTTATTTATGTAATGTGTTCACACTGATAGTTTTTGACACTTTTTCTTTTTTCTGAATCTTTTTTCAGCAAGCCATTGATATACGTGAGGAATTGCCTGAGCAGACAGCCAAGAGAATGTTCACTCTTCTGGGAATGCTGAAATACAAACCTTCTGGAGGAATGTCTGAAGTGTAAGACAGAAAATAACTGTTCAAAAGTAGTTTATAATGTAATTTAATCATTTATTCCAGTGATTTTAAAGATGATTTTTCAACTTCATTACTCCAGTCTTCATGATCCTTCAGAAATCACTCTGATATGAATTATTATTATTATTATTGTTATTATTATTATGAATGCTATATAATAAAAGCAATAATGACTGGAGTAATAATTTCATTTGAAACTACATTTAATAAGAAAGCAGTTATTTAGAATTGTGATAAATATTTTTAAAAAGTTTACATTTAATAAATGCTACTTTGATGAACAGAATGGTTTTTTTTTTAAAACATGGAGGAAAAAAAACAATATATATATATATATATATATATATATATATATTTATTTATTTATTTATTTATTTATTTATTTATTTTCTTCGTACTTCACACATCTAATCAGCTTTAAAATGTCGATTGAACAGAAGCAGTTTTCGTCAGGGTTTGGTGTCGGGCAGTAAGCCTGTGGTGCACCCCATCCTGCACTGGCTGTTACAGAGGATTCCAGAGCTGAAGAAGAGAGCGTATCTGGCCAGATTCCTCGTCAAACTAGAGGTTCCTGCTGAGTTTCTGCAAGATGATGTCATTGCTGAGACCTACCACCAGGTATGCCTGCTAAAGTTATGGCATAGTCTAAAAAGATTTGTTTTTAGATTCTGTTCCCTCACAGTTTGATGCCATAAAAATATATATAATCCACACCAATGCGCAATAACACTCCTGTTGTAAATGCACTCTGCACTTTTGTCGGCTACTTCCTTGAGCTCTTTAGAGTTGTTAAAATGTCAAAATGTTTTTTTTTCATTCATCAACTGGTAAAATTGCATATTATATTATATTATATTATATTATATTATATTATATTATATTATATTATATTATATTATATTATATTATATTTTAATTAGTGCAGTCAAAGATTAATCATGATCAATCGCATCCTTAATTAATTTATTATGTATATGTAATTCATCCACTGGTAAAATTGCATATAATATAATATAATATAATATAATATAATATAATATAATATAATATAATATAATTAGTG